CAGGGAGTAAATAAATAAAGTACATCGACGCCTAACGGCAACAGGGAGTAAATAAATAAAGTACATCGACGCCTAACGGCAACAGGGAGTAAATAAATAAAGTACATCGACGCCTAACGGCAACAGGGAATAAAGTAAAGTACATCGACGCTTAACGGCAACAGAAAATAAATAAAGTAAAGTACATAGGTACATCGACGCTTAACGACAACAGAGAATAAATAAAGTAAATTACAAGTACATAAGTAAGTACACCAGCCTTGCTTAAGTCAAGTACCAGCGTCTTCCCACTTTGTCCTTCAATAGACTCTATATATATAACAGTTTGCTCCGTTGTGAACCGGAAACACGTCGGAAACGCACAATCTAGGGTAATAATAATTAAGATACAGATCTATGGTTAGTATTAGTAAGAGTTTGACCGCACTTGCAACACAATAATGTCATATGACAGATCTAAGTGCCGAAGACTACAGGTGTTACAGGAGAGTAACAAACACAAAACAGAAGGAGGGGGGATAAGGACGATAGTTTTTAGAATAGTTTTACGGCACTCGCAACTGCATAAGGTCATATGAGCGCCAGAAGATTAGAGGTGTTACAAGAGAGTAACAAATACAGAAAAGGAGGGGAGATAAGGACGATAGATGTTTGATAGGAAAGAAGGAGCAGACCACACCAGAGCACCCGCCAAACCTATGGTTCGCACAGACACAATTAACACAAAACCACTGTCCTGTTTTCATTACTTCCCTGTCAGGTCATCGAAACTCCCGCTCAGCCCAGAACGATACCACCCGTGACTCCCTCTCTGCTCCGTAGCGATAAAAAAAATATGGTGAAGGTTTAACGCCCCTATCAACACTGTTAGTAATATATGAATGAGTTTTTAAAATAAAAAAAAAGTAAAGTAGAGGTATTACGGTGCTCGCAACTCCATAAGGTCATATAAGCGCTATGATCATGAATGAATGAATGAATGAATGAAAGAATGAATAATCAAATAAATGAGTAAGAACAAAACAGCTCTACCGTGCATGTGTCACTCCTCCTCTTTTCTGGTATCAGAATTCACACGCGACACTGGGAAAGAGAAAGGGAGAAATAGCAGAGAGATCTAGGGATAGATAGAGACAGAGAGAACACTCAACTTGTCTGACATCACTCTATCAGTATTATTACGACTGCGCCGAAGTCACACGCACGCAAATTTGATAAACACACAAACACAGTTGGACAAGTAGAGTCACAGTGACACGTGTGTGTGTGTGTGTGTGTGTGTGTGTGTGTGTGTGTGTGTGTGTGAGAGAGAGAGAGAGAGAGAGAGAGAGAGAGAGAGAGAG